GAAAACTAAACATATGCTTCTCGTTCTAAAAAAGAGCTTTTAAATGATTTTGGGCGAAACTAGTAACAGCTCTAACAACTGAGGCTGTGGACAACGATCATGCGCCACATCACGTGACATCTTCACCTCAACTAGGCAATGGGGATCTACTCCCCATCACTTCCATCCATTGGGCTCGAAAGCAGGAATTCCATTTCACAAGACGAGTTGTAATTGACAGGTGAGATTCATGTGAAAAAGTGCAAACCTGCTCAACCATTTTCTACTCGCTGTCGGAGCATAAACATGTCGCCCCATGAAGCCTTCTACATGCTTTGTCGAAGTTGGTCTCGGCGGGTCAGCTCAGAACGGCGTTAAAGAACGTTTGCAACGTTTTAGACTTAACCCGCTACCAAGTGCATGAATCCTCTCGGCGACTTTCGTAGCTAATGCTCTCTTTCGTCCGTCAAAGGCACGTTCTATGAACTGGCACTATGTCACGTCACAGTGGCACTGGGGCTCAAATGAGAGATTGACAGGAAAGGGTTGTTTTAGCGCCCCGTGGGCACGCAAAATTCTTTGCATTGCATTTTTCAATCCACTTGCTTTTCCACGTCCACCTCGTTATTTATCGACAACGTGTATTCACATGCATAATGATGCGTGCAAAAGCTTGATCAACAGAGGCAAGTGCCCTTCTTGACCTCCTTTGAATACGCCCCCATAACTAAGCGTCTTGCGAATTTTCCTTCCAGATAGGATCTTAACTCACAAAGTTTCCTTTTAAAGATATTGGAAAGATAAAATGCTTCTGTCAGAGATGGTTGCTTTCAAACAGGGGTGGAACTTTGTCTTTTTCATAGGGGGGTTTAAGTCATGACTTTACCCATCCAACTATTACCCATGTATTACCCAATCGCATTTCTTCACGGACATCGCCCATCTCACTCTGACCATAATTTGGGCTTATTGTAAAAGAGAAAGGAAAAAGCGTGCCCACGAATGATGCCGTTTCGAGGCCGTTCCAGTGGCTTTAGGAAAGCAGCGATTTCGAGTACCTTTTCAGTTCTTCCCGGAAGTATCAACCAATGGGACTAGAGAGCTTACTGAATTAAATGGTGTGATGGCAGTGCTCCAGGACTGTCGAAGTCTTATTATCCCATTCATCTGCTTATAATCGGACAATGTTTTGCGGACAGGGGTGGATCCAGAGAAGAGAGGGATGGGTCATGCCATCCCCTCACTTGGACCATTCATGAAGTTTTGATGTCCGTTCGTGGCACCAAAATGTCATGGTGAAGAGACACAAAACCTTTGCTTCGGAACCACATAGCGTTTATTTCGAAGAGGTACCAACTTCCAGGACCACCGCAAAAGGTCCCTTATCTTCATATGCATTATCAGTGCGTGCCTATCTGACGAAATTCTGGTTTGGCCCATTCGGGAATGCAGCACCAAGACTATCATTTCGGGCACCATGACCTATGTTTTAAAGAGGCACCCAATGGCAGCGGGCACCACAAAGGGTCCCAAATCTTCATCCTTAATGGACAACGAATAGAAACCTTTCTTTCAAAAAATAATTACTTTTATTTTCAAGAGGAGCTTTTGTGCCTATCATCTTGACGAAATTTCTGATTGGCTTGATTTCCGCCATTCGGCCAAGTGGCACTGAAATCCTTCACTTCGTTTAACCACTAACTGTGCGGTTCAACTCCCCGCCGTGCCGCCCTTCCTGACTGGGTGATAGGCAGCCGTCACCATACTGTCTCGGTAGCGTTGTAAAGCCCCAGAGATATACAGCAATTTGCTGAAAGGTCAGCGACCTGAAAAATGCAGTCTTTCTGGTGTCGTTGTGCTTAATTTGGCGTACTTAAGTTGATAAGTATCTGTAAAAAAGATGAAAGTGCATCGTGTGCATGCGTACCTACCTGCACCTCTGTTAAGTCTTCCGTGATGCGCGGATGACGAAAGTTTCCCGATTAGAATATGAGGGATTGAAAATGAAGTGACCGAAATCAGAGGAAATTTTTACATGAGGGAGATAGCAAGTTCCAGGGAGCAACACAGTAAAGACTGGTCCCTCCCCTGACGAAATCCTGCAACCACCCCTAGAAGTACGCCTAAAACACAAGAGCGTTTTCTGGAGGCGGGGGGGGGGCGCTTACACTGTACTTATGGGGCATTCATGGCTCGACCAGTGACCCGCGCACTGCGAGGCCGATTGCAGCGTCGTGCTTGAGTTTCATCTCCATTCACAGTTGTCTCCACGCTGTGTTTGTGCCTCGTTTCACTTGCACAGTATAGGAGCTCGCCGTAACAAATGATTTAGTACATATGCTTGTCATGTCTTAGGGACATATGCGGTTATAAACTTGAATTTGAAACGCATTTTCATGATGCCAAAGCTTTTTTTAAAACGATTAAGATATCTTCGCTTCGAAGAGCTGATAGGGAATTGGGGGCCCAGCCCAATATTGCGGGACCTCAGCCCAATGTTACGGGGGACCAGCCCAACATTGAGACGGAAGGGCAAGCTTAACATGGGGAACAGGTCCCCACAGAGATACGATGTTTTATCCTTTGTTTTGAAGGAATAAAATGCAGCTAGCTCCCTCTACATTTCGGTACCTTAGCAGACACCAATGAAAGGTGGTCGTTTTAAGCGAGATATATACACTCATAAGCGCTCATCAGCCTCACGTTTTATGTATGGACGTCCCTAAACTTTACCACTTAGACCAGACCTGTGCCAGAGCTCCAAGAAAGCACCCAGTCCCCGAATGATCATTCGACGACATTAGAAAACTGTCCTGGATCTTAAAGGATCTTTTGGCAACATTCCAGAAAGCATCCGAGACCCTGGAAGATTCATCAGCATAATGTATCAATAGAGCCTAAATTCCAGAACACCTTTGGGCAGACTGCTAGAATAGATCTGGCTTCCTGGAAGGTTGAAGATCTAGGACTCAGATTTTACCCCTGGTCCCTCCGTTGGTTATGGGTGGGAACAGACTTGTTTTGACAGAATAAATGCGCGGTGCACAATAACGCTACTCAGGAAACACGAATGAAGTGTTTAATGAGCCCTGCGGTATGCCAAGAGCACGCTTATATTGACCGCTCAAGATCAGCTGGAAATGTCCACGAGTTACGAGGCATTGCAGACAACAGGTAAATTTGAACGTCCGTATTTAGATTGCATTTGATGGATAAGTTGGTATAGCTTGCTTCAACTGTCACCATTCCATCAGGTTTCTTTCCTCAGCTGTGTTCTCTGTGTAATCCGTGAGCTTCGTCCAGGAAAATGAATCAAAGGTGACGTGCGTTGCCTGGACGGATGTAAGATCATGGGTGCGTTCGGCCGGCAGATAATCTCGGGAAATTATCCGGAATGTTGGAAAATTTTCCGGAATGGCGTTCGGCACTGCTGTCATGGAAAATTAATCCGACAATTTTCCGTAGCGAGGGAGAATCGCGGAGAATTTTCAGAGCATGGTCAAAACGGATAATCTGTTTTTCGCTATGCATAGCTATGACTGTTGGCTGTGGATGGCGCATGGGAGACTAATCTGGGGGATAATTTCCGGACCGGCCCAGTAAAAATGAAGCATCTGCGCGAATGATTATCGGAGAGGTAATTATTCGTTGAATAATTTTCCTTTAGCCGAGCGCGCCCGATGGTTTAGCATATGCGGCATTATGGGCTAAAGCGATCCTCCAATAAAAAACAGGGTCCCTTTAGATACGAGATCCGGACAGTTTAACTGAAAGGGGCCACTTTGATCCGATTTCACTTACTCCTAGGAAAATTCCTGGCTACATCGCTGTTTTAAAAGCAAGACATATGCCTATCATCCATCAGTTTAACTGAAAGGCCTCAACCAATCAATGAAAAGATTCGCATGACAATGATGCTTGTAGTGAT